TACTACGTCTTCGGCGTCGAGCCTGAAGTCACAGAGTGCACGTAAGATTTCTACTTTTTGACGAAGCGGTAACAATTCAAAATCTACGTCTGTATTGAAAGGATTTTCACATTTGTATTCCTGTGCGAATATACAAACGTTTTAGTTACATTTTACTCAATCAAGCAACTGACAATTATGCATTGCAACATCCAACACTGAGATTAATACATACTTGACATTTTTTCCGGAAAAGTCTACGCAGAAACATCTGATAATTAAAAGTGGAGATGTCATTGCGAGTGTCGTTTGGCAAGCAACCCTCCAGTAACTTTACTATGAGTTCCTGAAGCAGCCGTCCTTCGGTACCTCCGTCCGTCAATAAAGCTTCTTCCAAATCCTACAATTTTGACGTTAACATTGGAACACATTTTGCATATAGTATTCATATAGTATAGTGAAGTGAAGAGAACAAAATGATGTATAAGCCAATAAATAATAAGATTAAAGCTGAAGCATGACAGCTGTTTCGCTGCCTAAATGCTGAAGCGGTACTAATGGGCTTTACATACGCTGCTTACTCATAAGAGAGTTAGCATTTGATTAGATACCTCAATATCAAAATCCAGAAGATTGAAGGCAGCTCTAAATAATGAGCAAAAGTGTGCTATACTTGGCACCTCCCACCACGATTGAATGTCTAAAAAATAAAGGAACAGTTAAAAGTTCCTTGATCTTAATCCTGCTGTCTATTTGAAATGGACGTTATTGTAACTATACCCATTTCTTAGACGAAGCTATTTGGAATCTTAACTAAAATTATTTGAGAAAATACTACACTCTAATTAGCAATAAATCTTAATTCTAAATATTTTCCATTTGAATACATTGAGAAAAGTTCCCTTTTCAAAATATTTATATCCTCTCATTAAATATAATTTACATTACATTTAAAAATTATATTCTTTGAATTAAAATAGACAACTTTGATATTTTTTTTCTTAAACAAACAACAAAAATAAATGATATGTTTAAAAATCTAAACTGAAATGGCTATTAAATATAAAATAATTTTTTTTCAAGATCACGTCTGTCTTCAAGTTTCTTAAATTCTAACACGAATAATTATTTTTATTTTTCTACACTTAAATATATAAATTTGCGAAAAATTACCCCTAGACTTGATTTAATTTATCAAAACACAATCACCTATTCATAACAATTAATACACCATTCACTCTATCCACCTTAATTCATTTCAATAATTCCGATCAAAGACACACGATAAGAGATAAACTTAATTACTGAAATGGAGCAATGATTTTACAATTTTAAACATCTCAGTGATTGCTTGTCAAATACTCCAAAAAAAAAAAAAATCTTTTGAAGTATTCAAAACAGAGAAATAAATTTATGCAAATTTCTGGAATGGATACATAGATTGAATAACAATTATAAATGTACATCGTTCCCTCGACTTCCCTCGACTTGAAACATTCAGGCTCTCATAACAGAATAAACTTCACAATAAAAAAAAAATAAAAAAAATAAAAAATAAAAAAAAATATAAAATCTTTGAACTATAGAGATTTTCCAATAGAGAAATAAATTCATGCAAATTTCTGAAAGAAATATTATATATAAATTCAGTAAGAATTGATAAATGTACATTGTGTGTTCAATCAACATCCTTCGACTTAAAACACTCTTGTAATAAAGTAGGAGAATATCTCGTAGCTGAAGATCAGGAATTTCGTCTCTACCTGCTGCCACAAACTATTTCTAGTATCGCTTACAGCGTCGCAAAAAGGAATAATATAGATACAGATATATATCGGCCGGCAATTCGTCACGCGTGTGCCGTCCGGTAGGACGACCGGCGCGACGGTGGACTCACCTAGGATCCCGATGAAGGTGGGAAACATAACCCGTCGTGTGGCGGGCGAATCGGGCGAATCAGCGTGTCCAGGGCGGGACACGGACGGGCTCGATGAAGGTTTGGCGTCCAAGTGTCAGGGAAGTGTCTCCGGGTTGTGACGATACGAACGCGAGTTGGCTTCCTCGATGGGCCGTACCCGACGACCCCGACGACTCGGCGGGAGATCGTCAATGGGATCGAAACGGCGGCAGCGGCGATCTAAAGGCCCCGTGTTAACCCGTGTAGCGCACGAACTGCGCGCGCGACGAGAAGAATCGAGCAAAACACTTCCGCCGCCCGGCCGTGTATGTATGTATGTATGTATATATATATATATATA